CAGCCAGGAGGGACACGGATCTAATAAACATGTGGTTGCATTCAGCCTCCCCAAGACCCTGTCCACATCTTCAGGAGCAACAGAGTCAAACTCCTCCCATACAACCGTCTCAAGACCTGCTCCCGTCTCCTCCTCCTGGGCCAACCAGTCGGAGTCTAAGCCTTCTCGGATCCGAGCGACTTTGTCATACAGATACTGTTTTACTGTTTAAATGTTTATTATATAATTATTTTTGTCTGCTGCATTGACTTTTTATAATAGAGTGATGTAAAATTTTGTGGATAAATAAAAACAAATAAACAAGCCACAATCATAGAATCACATGGTAGAAGAAAATGACAGTACACACACATGTACAGTATTCACATCCTGTTATGGCCCCAGGATATATCCAGAACTGTCTTGCAAAGTATAATTCTGCTAATCTGCTCCAACCATCTAGAGATTACTTTTTGAGACACTTGCCCCCACATGCAAGTGGTATGGACTAAGTGTTAGGCCTTAATTATAGTGGCCCCTGTGCTTTGGAATATGCTCCTTCTGAAAACAAATTTCATCCCAAGTCATCTTTTCTTCTGAAGAACTATGAAGAGTTTTATTTCAATGGGCCTTTGACTCATGGGTTGATGGTGAGCAAACGGAGATTATGTTCTTACTAGAACTGGAAGAACTATAGTCACACAATAGAAGCAGTAGACAAATATTATAAATAATTATAGAGTGCTAATTGGAACAGGATGTAATCTGAAGATTATATGATTTAGCTATGTTTTATTGAATAAACTAGAGTTTAATCACTGTCATTTACCAAATGTGCACAAAGTTTAAAACACATTTCACTAGTAGTTTATTTCTTTTGGGGTACAGACTAGTGATAGTAATATCAATTCTAGGATAGTTTTTAATTATTCATGAACTGTTACATTGATGTGGAAATAAATCTAACATTTAATAGATCATTCTAAGTAATCTCTTCAAAGTTTTAAATTAGCTATCAGATATAATGGATTATAATGGAATATCAAAAAATAAAGAAATAAAAAAAGTCCAGAAAAAGGCCCAAATGCAAAAAAGAGAGTAAATGTTCCTAAAAGACAAATCAGATTCTCTATTTCATCATGTACACTATTACTATTTAAGGTATGTTAATAGATACAAACGTTTCCCATACTGTAGTATTCTCATAAAACAGTCATGCTATTCCTGTTCTTTTGTAAATAGAATCTGTGAATCATCAGTGGTAACTGATAATACAAACATTGTAACACAATATTTATAGAACAAAGTGAATTAATTATCTTCCTTGACTCATGTATGATGCAGACCTTCTCAGAAGAAACTAAGTAAAACACACACATGGACATCCGACCATTGTTTACCAGTGTTCAGTGGTAAGTATGCAAAAAGTCAGAAAGTCTAAGGGGCAATTTATTTTCGCAACGCTAACCAAGCTACTCAAGAATCCAAAGGAAAAATAGCAAGACATATTGCTCCAAGCTTGTATTCAAATTGAATACTGAACCATTTTAACTACGGTATACAAAAGAAACTTTACTAGACGCTCCATTGGTGGCACTACAGTAAAGGTGGCATCTGGGCTATCTTGGCAATGAGAGTCTTTCTTTTTGGCAAACCAATTGAAGACATTGCAACAAACCTATAAAAGTTCCGTAACACATCACTGGAGGAGACAGGCAGCTAATAATCTCTTCACAATCCTGAACAATGCAGTTCCCTTGAACAGAATTGGAAGGGACCCTGGAGGTTTCTCAGTCTAACCCTCTGCTTGGGGCAAAAAATCTTATACCATCCAGGTCAAATGATTGTCTAACTCTAATCTATTCTTGAAAACCTCCAGTGATAGTTTTTCTTTTCTAAGGAGAGGGCAGTTCAGGGGAATATATCAGTATCCCGAAAATGAATAAAAACCACAATCTTTTCCATAATACGCATCTAACTCCTTGGATACACTGGAAATGCATTGCTTTATGTTTTAAAATTACAGATCTTGTTTTGGTAGCTGCTACATTGGAATCCAAATGAACTGAGCAAATACTGAAATATTTCTAACTTACTGATTTATATTGAAAAAAAACCCCACCATTATCCCACGTCACTGATCTGCATATCATCTCCATGATGTCCTACCTACGTTTGACAACAATCAAAGGACAACAACAATCTGGAATTATAACATAAACAGGATTTACAATATACTTAAAAAATTGAGACCGAGAAAAAAACATCCTGAAGCTGGACGCAAAGCATACGGATCTCGCTAAAATTAGTAATATCACTCCAACAACAACCATTTTCCTGACAATGAACTAATTATACCGAACGTTTCTTTTTTTTTTTTGTTATTATTATTGCCCACATCAAACGTGGCATTTAAAGCTTCGCCGCCTTTAGTTTTAAAGATGGCCGTCCTGTGAACGTCACTTGAAACTCCGGAGGTGGGCTCCTGAGAAGTGAAGTACGGCTGCGCGATTCTGAAAAACGGAACAGGCGAATTCGGGCTGTAGATGCCGGTGGGGTTCGGTTAGCGATGGCTGGGTAGGCAAAACTCTTCATAATTTCCTTGAGTGTTTTTTCCCCCCCTCCTTCGTTTATAGTAATCTATCTTAAAACTCTTTAATTCTGCCCCGTCTTTTTTCTTTTAAAGAATGTTCGTTCTCAGTCATTCCACCTTAATCCTAATTTTAAAGGGTTACCGCTCCTAGAGTGATTTTTTTCCGGGTGGTCGATTAGGTTGCTATGCTTGATTTCCTATAGATATAGATTCTTGCCCTGCGTTAGACTATCCATTCGTCCTGTCAATATGACAGGCAAGCTGAAGGATGCTTCCTGAACTTCCGTTTGTATTCCCATTCAATTATCCGCTACAAGGACCTAGACCGGTGTTTCTTAACCTGGACAACTTTAAATTGTGTAGATTCCAACTCCCAGAATTCCCCATATATATTTGGGAATTGAAATCTACACAGCTTAAAGTTTCCAAGTTGAGAAACACTCATCTAGACATCGGAAGTCTGTACACAAGAACAAAACTGTATTGCAAATAGGGTTGCCAGGTGTCCACTATTTGAGTGGACAGTCCACTTTTTTCACATTATGTTCACTATTTTTTTTTCACAAAATAGTGGACATTTTTTTTATTCAAAAGCTTTATGATGAAATGGTACGTAATCTAAAGCTGTACAATCTACTTTTTTTACTACTTAAACCCCCCCCCCCCGCTTGTCCGCTATTTTTTGGAAGCAGACCTGGCAACCCTAATTGCAAATATACATATGTGCTATGTGATGATTAATTGTAGATTGTGTCACTTTCCTGTTATACTTCTGTGGAAAACGGTATGGCTGAAGGGCAGATATATGCACCCAACTACCTGCTTGTGCATGAAATTCTCACCTTCTCACTTTTTGAGTTTTTCTAGCAGCAGCCTTTGCAGTTTGCAGTGCCTATCACCTGGTGCCAATGCCAATGTCTGGTTTCTTTTATCATTTATTCCTGCCTCAAACTAATGGTTCCTGGCATCGTTTCTTCATAGATTTCAGTTGTAGTTACTTACTCTTCCTCCCATTGTTTTTCTCTTTATTGTTAAAAAATTATGTAGACAAAAGAAACAGGTAACTCTCCTGAACACTTTACTCTTAAAATAGATGACATAGTCATAGAACAAGGCACAGCGTTTTCTTGGGAAAAAAGTGTTCAGATTCCAAAAGAGCCAATTAAACATTGAACATTAATGCCATCCAACAAACTCTTATGTGGTTTTTTATGTTAAAAAAATGTACAAAGTCCATGAATCATAGTGGGATTTTCTAGTTGACTTAAGCTGCCAAATATTTTCTTTTTGAGTATGAATATTATGATTTGCTTCCAATTAATAGCTTAGATAGGGAACATTTTGGCTAAAAATTTAGACTGAAAATGCTTCTGATTATAATTGTCAAAATGTTGACTTTAGTTTCTTGCAAGAGGAAATAGATCAGATTACACTGCTGAAGAATAAGAAACAATTTCCTTGTTTCAGTTTAACTTATACTTTGTGGGATAGTACAATAGTGTTTATTTGTGGTTGGCTATCATTGGAGCTTAATTTTGCATGTAAAAATCTTAATTTTAAATATATTTAAGAATCTATTTTAATTTTTTCCTACCTTTGCCCTTTTCAGTGTACTGCATTAGATTCCTATCTGAATTTTTAAAGCTAATAATTCTGTTCACATTATGGTGACATAGAATTATATAGATTGAATTGCAAAAGGTCAAGTTTAATCTGAATTCAGAAAACACCATCCCAATGCAAAAACGGTGTTTCTTGTTTTTAATGTGTTATCTGCAAACGCCTTCGGGTTAAGGCAGTTATGTACCAATGTGCTAGGTGAACTGCTGTTCAAGTATTGTAGTTCATATATTTCATCTTAATTGATTTTTAAACTTGCCATATTCTTTTGAAAGGAGTCTTGCAAAAAACTTGTGCTGTCAAGAGACTTGTAATTCTGTAAACAGCACCTAAGTCTGGTGTGTTTCTAGTTTTCTCCCAGAAAGGGGATAAACCCTCTATAGAAAAACAAAAAAAACATCTTAGAAGTTAGGCTGTAGCTGCATTAGACAACATATTGAGAGACTGGGAAGAAAACCATATTTCACCCTTGGATATTGTAAGTACCATTCTGTATGGTTAGTTAATATACTATATCAATCCAGAAAATCGTAAACCTTGATTCAGCTAACTTTGAATGTAAATATTGTGTGATCATAGCCTGCACAAAAAATGGGAATTCAAGATCCTATAGCCCAAAGACTCTGGAAATGCCTTATATGGGAAGATGGCTATCATGTGTTATAAAGTTAGCACATTAAAAGTTATCTTTTTAAAAAGTTAGGCATTCAGCATCTCTTCCTATTTAATATTAATAATACTTCATTCTAGCTGCCTTTCAAATTAGAGTATGATTTCCATCTTTCCCTTCCAATTCTATCATACATCTTGAGATAGTGTACAAGCTTAAGACATTCTAATTTGTTTAATTTTAAATTTCGATTTAAAATTAATTTTAAATAATTTCATACACTTAGTTAAAACTATGAAGATGTATCAGCAGAAAAGTTGACTTGATTTGTATTAGATGTATATAAATATTCATAATACAATAGAGCTTAGTGAGCAGTCAGTTTGATTTGAAACCTACTGTCATCTGATGCATTATTCCTTTGTTGCTGTAAAGTATATATCCTATTATAAATTTCCTTTCCTACATCCTATGTAGGTTTTGAAGCACAAAGCAAGACTTGCTGAAGTTGGTTTCTTTGTTGCAATTTAACTTGTCTCTTTCTTTGAAAAAGGAGTAGGGCATGTATCAAACCCAAACATTAAATTGCCCAATTTTTTGTTGTCTGCCCATACAGAGTTAATGATGGTTTGGTCCCACCAACAAGTCAGCAAGTTCTGGACAAAGAGGTCATTTTGGAACTGGAGGTGACATCCAGAACATGAATCAACATGGGTTTGAGGCTTTTAGCTTGCCTATTCAACGTCCCCGTTGGAGTAGTTTATGGATCCTTGTCTCTCTTTATTTCAATTTTGCATAACGTGTTTCTCCTCTACTATGTGGACACCTTTGTTTCTATATATAAAATTGATAAACTTTCCTTTTGGATTGGGGAGGTAAGTTCTTAACTTTGAAAATCCGCGTTAGGCCCTTCCTTTCATGAGATAGCATGTGATATTTCAGAAAATAAATAAAATATAATTTATTATGGCATAGTTATCATAGAAAAAGTCCAGTAGATGTGTGAACTATCATTAGCCAGTATGTATGCAAACATGTGGCCAATATATGCCTGCTTATAGCATTTGCATTGGTTGTGATGATTCAGTGACAATGAAATGTCAAAACTATCGCTTGCTATAATTCTGGGTAAAGTTTAAAATGGAATGGAATAGAATAGAGCTGGAAGGGACCTTAGAGGTCTTCTAGTCAAGCCCCCTGCTCAAGCAGGAGAACGTATACTGTCTCAGACAGGTGAATATCTAGGTGAATGAGTTGCAGTAATAAATAATTTCAGAGTACAGTAATTAGCCTGAAAGAATCTGGCATAAGCATAAAAAACTTTTTATGTAGATTAGATGTATGCAATATTCAGATCCAAAGTGGGTAAAAGTGCTTTGCATCTTGTATGGACATTCTTGGTGTATCTTTAAGCAACTCCTTAAAAGGGCATGTATATAGGCATTTCAGTTATTGTGGATATTCTTCCCAATATAGGGATGGCTAACTTGTAAAATAATAGATTAGGTTAAATATTTCAGTATCTAAGTCTCATTTTTTTTGTTTTTTTCCTAGACTATTTTTCTGATCTGGAACAGCCTCAACGATCCTCTGTTTGGCTGGTTGAGTGACAGAGCTTTTCTTAGCACCCAGCAGTAAGCAGAGTTTCATTTATGTCCTGTTTCAAAGTCTGAACAGTATAGGAAAACAGAGGGAAGCTCACTGACAGTAGTTTTTTTTTAAATGTAATAATTACATGTTTCATTAAAGATGTCAGATTTCACACTATTCGTAGCAATGCATCTTGCAGATATTCAGACACCCTAGTCAGAAACTAGCTTAAAATTGGAAGCTCCACCGAAAAAAGATAGCTATGTAGCTTGCTTTATTACTGTACTGGCAAGATTCTTTTTTCTTAATACGCATGTCTTTGTTTTCAACTTCCCTGTAAGTTGACAGGCTGTGAAGTAATCAAGCTTACCCTCTTATATCAATTTAGACTACAATCCTGTGGACTTTGAACCAACCTTTCAGAGGCCTAGATTATATCAAAATGTTTCTTTTCTTTAGTTTGGAGAAAGGCCTCCAACTCATTAATGAGAAATTTGATGGTACTTTCTACTTGTGTGCCAGTCCCTGAAGATAGTTTCCAGCAAAAGAATGTCAGGGAAGAAACTTTGAATCCAGGCTTGAGACAAATTAGCTTACTATTTGGCAAAAATGTGATGTCTTGTTTAAGAATGAATGAGTGAAATGGAGTGAAGTTCAACCAGTTTTCATGGACCATTTTTTTTCTTCTTTTTAGGTCTGGAATAGCAATCTCCACTCCAGAAGTTGTTTCAAAGAGACTCAAAGCTCTAAGCCGCAATGGTCCATTATTTGCTGCATCATTTCTGGCTTTTTGGATTGCCTGGGCCAACCCAGGCTTACAATTCCTCATCTGTCTCTGCCTATATGACAGCTTCCTTACTGTGGTGGATCTAAACCAGAATGCTTTGCTTGCTGATCTTGCTGTGTCTGCAAAGGATAGGACTGACCTCAACTTCTACTCTTCACTCTTTAGTGCCATTGGTTCCCTCTCAGTTTTTATGTCCTATGCTGTGTGGAACAAAGAGGACTTTTTCTCCTTCAGGGTATTCTGTGTGGCTCTGGCTTTCTGCTCAGCACTTGGATTTACCTTGGCCACATGGCTACTGAGGCAAAGGCTTCAGACAGATGGACACGTGAAATGGGATGAAAATGAAACATTAAAAGAGTGAGTGGTGTTTGGTTGTCTAGTTAGAGGAAGGGGAGGCTCAAAATATCTGAAGGACACTAGACTCTCCCCTTCTGATATAATATAGTTGATGATAATTGTCTATCTTTCCTTGTGTCCTCTATCCTTCACCATGAACTTTCTAGCTTTAATATTGAGACATAGAGAAAAATGAAACAAAATATCAGTATCTGCTAAATGGCCTCAAGCTCAGTTGTATAATTCTTGAGCACTTTTGAAATGAACCCTGTAAACAGAGATGGAGCTTGCCTTCTGTAACAAAATGGTGACAAATTACCCTTGAAAGTTTTACTGGAGTCCTCTTTTAAACAAATTGTATTCTGTGTTGCTTTTGGTTTGGTGGCTGGATAAAAATACATCATTCTATATAAAAGCACAAGACAGAGACTATTATTTATTTGTATCCTGATATGATTGCATGATATGATTGTTTTGGAACTTTATCCTCTCTACCTAACCAAGAAAATAAGTGTTGAAGAAGATAAAAACCTGAATTCATTATACTGACTGTCTTTAAAATGTGGAAATTTGTTCCTGCAGATTATACATTGATAATCCTTCTAGAAATCAAGATAAAAGAATCACACTTGCTGAGTACCTCAAACAGCTCTCCAGGCACCACAATTTTCTGTGGTTTGTCTCCATGAATTTAATGCAGGTAAGGGTTGCATAGTCCCTGCAACAAAACAGTACTGGCTGCTAGGTAAAAGCCCAGTCAGCACATTGATAGGGATCCTATCCAGCAGAATATTGATGATCTTCCAGATCATTTCATAACTCTTCAATAATTTTCTCGATCAAATGTATTCAATATATGTTTAAATTACAATTTTCAGGCAGCCTGGTTGAGGAGCATGTTGGCTAAGATTTCTAACAACTATAGTTCAACACATTTAGAAAGCAATGGATTGGGAAACTTGGAATTAGGAAGTGATGTTGATCTGAAAGATGTCAGAATGAAACTGACTAATCAGTCTTATCTTGGCTGTATGTGACAAGTCAGCTATTGGGAAGATTTATGATAGACTTCAGTTTCCCGTTTCTTAGACAAAATAATTTGTATGGTGGAATAAGAACATTCTTCAGAAGTCTAAATGTTTTTGTGCTTTTTTCATTAAGAGAAAAGCAATGCCTTCCCTTTGGGAAGAAATTTGAAGTTAATATTCAAAAGTTATGGTGTGCAACAGAACAAAGGTTCCTTTTTTGCATTCTTCATCAGTATACTTTTATATTACAGGAAGAAAGGTTGTAAGGCTATTCTGTCTTCAAATATGGCATTCCTTGTTATATGATGAGTAGATGTTCTTAACATTTGCAGATGTTGATATATGTTGATATAGTATTAGTATTAATTGGCAGTGCAGACTCTGTGGTTTATTTGCATATTAGCAAAAATAATGTACAACTGGAATAATGTATAATGTGGTACAAATAATTGTTGTGTTACCAAGTCAGCAGCAGCTGCATCTTGAAAGTAATAAAGAATAACCCTTTTTAGAATAATTTTGTCACCCTGATGTCAATACAGGCATGTATGAGAATATTCATATTTTCCTGCCAGGTTTTTAGGGTCTTATGAAAGGCTAACAGGGTTGGGGCCATTCTACTTTCTGAAGGGAGGATGTTCCATAGAGCAGTGATCACTGCGGAAAAAGCCCATGTTTTAATCCCCACCAGCCAACACTGTTTGGTTGACAGGATCTGCAGCATGCCTACTTTGCTAGATCAAGTTGGATGGGTAGAGAAACTTGGAAAACAGCAATCCCTCAGGAAATCCAGTTCTAAGCCATGTAGGGCTGCAAAGGTGAAAGTCAGCATCTTGAATTGCATCCAGAAACATACTGGTAATCAATGTAGCTCACACAGAAGTGGTGCTATGTGTGTCATATATCTGGCACCATTTACTACCCAGGCACCTGTGTTCTGCACCAATTGAAAATTCTGAATGCTCTTCAGGGGCAGCCCCATGTTGCAGTAATCTTGCAATTATTCCCTTCAAAGGGTTTATTTAGAGTTGATTGTGCAATATAAATTACTTGGTTCCATCATTCTCTGGAGCAGATTTGATTCTTTCTGATTTAATACAGACCCACTGAACTGGCTTGAATATTTATCCTTGAGCTTGTATACAAATATGTGAGTCATGTATTGCGTTAGGGATACAGTATGTTATTTGTTCTCTAATTGTCTTTTTATAGGTCTTATAAATGTGTTTTACAGGTTTTTCATTGCCACTTTAACAGCAACTTCTTCCCTCTGTTCCTGGAGCATTTGCTGTCTGATCGCATCTCTCTTTCAATGGGAACATTTCTTCTAGGTAAGTCCAAGGTGGGAATAGTAAGAAGCACTGCTCAGCCATAGATTCTGGCTTTCCAGAAATTGTTCTGCAGATGTATTCAACTGCAATGTATAGTGACTGTGTTACCTGGGCACATTTAGGGGTATGAAACAGGTAAAGCTGGACTGGAGAATGGATGTTATTCCTCTTTAAAGATAGAAAATATATGACCCATCTCAGTTGAATCATTATGATCACCATTTTCTGGAAGTACATTTTTTCCTTCTATTTCTTGAAGAAAAAAAAGGAAGTTTACGGATAAGAAATGCAGTATCCAATAGTATAGATCCAAATTATGTAAGTTAGTTCTGGTCATTCTCTTAATTAAGTCTGACAAACTGTAGTCTTTTAAAGGTAGCATTATATATATATTCTTTGTGTGTGAATTTCATGAAAACAAATAGGACCTGTAACAAGACTATAGAATTGAAGTCAACCAAACAGAATTCCATTACATTTTTCTGTATCCTCATAGTTCCTTTTTATCTAACAGTTTACTGGATATGCTTATTGTAGCTAATAAGTTGTTTAGTGATTTCTCCTTCCTTACCATCCTAACTCCCTCTCTCTGTCCCACAAGTGATTGACACTAAAGTGTCTACTATCAGTTTGTCAGATTAGTATAGTTCAGATCCATATGGAAACCAATGTTCAAGAGTCAGACAAATTTATTTATTCCAAAGGGTTTGGATTGATATTTCCAGAATCCCTAACTATCATCCATATTGGATGTACGTTATGAGAGCTTTAATTTAAAAATCTAGATTCACAATATTTTTAAAAATTTCACTTAGTACAGGTTTTTTGTTTTAGTCTAGAATGAATCTAGGATGTAGAATCATGCAGAATGTGGTCTATTTAGTATACGTTTGGACTTCTACATTTTAAAACAAAACGAATCTCAAACCCTACTACTTATCATAAATATTTATTCCATTTTAAATGGAAAAAGTCCTTAGAGATGTTAGTGCTATGCAAAGGCATTTGCTTAGCAGGAATCAATTAATGTTTACTTATGTCACGGTGGAAGGCTCTTTAGTTTATATAAAACTTGAATTTGTGTAATCTAAAGCATGTACACAATGAGAACAAACATGACCTATTCTGCAGAAATTGACATGTTCTTTGGCCAGAATGAATATTCAGAACAACATCTATGCATGCTTCAATTTTCCTTCTCTGGGGAAAAGCTTATTGTCATACTCATCATGGCATCTGCCAAAGAGTCCTATTGATTTTGATGGATTTTCAGTGATCACAAAATTGAGTGATTTAATTTCAAATGCTGTAGTAGTGAATTTCTATACAGCAGTGTAAAGAATTATGGACTAAATCTATAAAATTTGCAGCAAGTTATAATTTAAAAGAAAATTGGTGCAAAGTGTTTTAAAGGTGGTATACAAACTCTAGCAGTAATATCTAAGATAGACTGACCATTGAGAAATAAATAATGGAAATGTCATGAAACATCAGAAACATTGTACCACAGATGTTAGACATGTAGAAAGCCTCAAAAGTACTAGAAAGACATGCATGATTTAATGTAGAAAATCTTGGAATTTAAATTTGAAATGAAACCACAACCTACTAGGAATAATCTCAGAAAAAATAAGAAAACATCCTAATTTAACAAAATATGTGCTTACAGTAGGAAGAATAAGTTTTGCTCAACATTGAAAGAAAGATATGGCTATCTTATCGGAAATGTTAACTTGGAGAATATGAGATAATGGCAAAATAGTATATATAGAAGTTTCACTAAATTTAAGCCAGAATTGTTCCCACATATAAAACCTTTCATGTAGCCTGGCAAATATAATCAAGTTTAAATTTTTGCAAATATTGCAAATTAACAGATGAAGCTATAAACCCAATGTTTTGTTTTTATTTTTTTTATTTTTTATTTTTTTT